TAAATTGAGAGTTGGAATCATAATAAACTAAGTAGAGAGAGACAGAGAGAGGGGAATTTTTAATTTTTTAACTCCTTTAAAGGAATATTTGCAAAAAGCTTTTTGTAATCAAAGATAAAATAGGCGCAATATTTCATATTTTGGAACAATTTTTGTTTTGGCAACAAAAGCAAAAATATTTTTGAAAATTCTTACTGAATCACAATCATTTATGTTACGAATTAAAGTATAATGGAGCTCACAGTTGGAGAGTTTACTCAAAATAACTTGAGAGAAAAAATGTATTTGTGAACTTAATATTCAAGCAACAACTTCTGTGATAGCTATATGTTATAGTAGTTCGATCTAGCCGACTTTGACATTTATATTAACTGGCAGTCATAAGAAGATGAACCTAAGCATATTTTCATCAGGCTAGCTGCAAAAAAAGGAACAGTTGTTTGGATAGAAAAGAAAACATGTCCACATTAACTAGACTAGATCAAGAACATGCTAGTGAGCTAAAAAAAAAAAATTAAAACAAACTCTGATATGACGTTTTGGCCGGACTAATTGGCCGACTGACTGGCTATTTGGCATAGACCAAGCCGCTAGGAGGGGATCGGCTGGAAGATAAACCGACAAGTGTTAAAAGTTCGTGGAAAACGATTATATGGAACTTTTTCCTTTTGGAATCCGATAAGGTTTAAACTGTGTTTCAAAGATCTATACCAATCCGAGATACGATGCCCCTTTACCAACCGGTTCCATAAAAATTAAAACAAGCACGAACGCTTTGGTTGGGTGTGTTCGACTACAAAATCTCCTATACTCCTCGATCAATATAATATTTTGGTTATAGGACCACAATCTGAACTCTTCATATCAGAAAACACAGCCGAATATGAACTCAAATATGCTTATGCAGGCACTAATAGATGTATTTGTGTATAAAACACAATGGGGAGAGGTATCCAAGAAGTGAAATATTCCTAATCTGCGCACTTAACGCGAGCCTACATACCAAATTTGGTAATTTTTATCTAGCTCTTATAGTTCTTGAGTTATACTCAAAAATCCGAATCTCAGAATCGATTTTTATCGATATGTGATTAACTCGTTCTGCGTAGGGTATAGGAGAATATAAATTCACTCGGCAAGTCGTCCTGCTCAGGAGTATACAAGCTTTATCGGATCGGAAATGCCATCTTCTGTCTGTTGCATACATTGTCACACAATCAATATACTCGATTATCAATGGGTGGAGGGTATTTGCAGACTTTTGGATGCCATATTTATGCATAGAAAATTTCATTAGGATTGGAAAATAAATACTGAAGTTATTTCGGGCGCATTTTCTATATGTTTGGCTTGAGCGAAGAAGAAGCACAGTAAATTATCGCTAAGTAAACTGCGCAGCAAGCGGTTCTTTATAATATAATCAATTGGGATAAATCTCATTATGAATTGTTATTTGAAACATGATTCGTGCTGCTAAACAATTTACAAATAAAAATGTATTTACATATTTGCTGTACTTTTAGCTGCCTTTTCAAGTGCACAAAGTCAGCGCAGCACAATTATCATTTAATGATGAACTTTGAGACAGAGGAACTCTTATACCGACTGCGCAATACTCTGTTTCCATAGAAATAACAGCTCAAATACTTGAAAATTGTTAGCTCTGAAAATCTCACCCTAAGTCAAGCTTTAGCTAAAAATTGTTTGGGGAATATGTGGAAAAACTCGGTACCTCATCTGACTTGGTTCTACACTATATAGTCGTGTCAAGCTCCAGCCGGTCATGGTGCCTGCACAAAACCAATATACCCATTCTCAACTGTTTGGGAGCAGAGTATAAACAGATTTTATACTACACAGTTGAATATAGCTCGCACTTATAAAGCGAGAGTATTTAAAACGAGCAGATGGAAAACGATGATTGCTCGCTTGTCAGCTCCAATTCATATTAATATATCAGAAGAAATTATCCGGCATCGCCCGAGCCGAATGTGCTGAAAATGGAAATTTAAAATTGTTTAAACATTTAAACGGTTTTATGTTTGCGTTTCTTCGATGCACAAAAGAACGAATAACATAATAAGAAATAAACAAATAAAAGTTGCTGGCGGATTTGAACCGGCGACCACCCGCTTGCTAGCCCGACGCTCAGACGCTTAAGCCTCGTCGCACGTTTCCAAATGAAATGTTTTTCATACCAAGTTGGGTCTAAAGCAGGTCCAAAAGTAGAACCAATGATCCAATGTATCAATGTGCATTGATCACGAATCGGTCAGTTTCTCTTTTATATATAGATATATATTTATATAGCATTTAGTGGCTGTTAGTGAGCTCTTAACAGTGCTTAGGCACTAATTAGATCATTCAACATTTTCGTGCATTTTTGAATCGTCCAGCCAAGGGGGTGCTACAGGAGAGGGGACTGCTGCCTGTCGACAGACCTTTTAACCCTTATCATATAAATCGCCAGAGCTGACTGGTATGATGGGTGGGTGTAGGGGTTAAGGGAGTTGGTAGGTAGGTGGGTAGGTGGGTGGGGTGGGGGTTAACAGCGGACTAACGGGTCACGCTCGAATTGCCCTTGGCAAGCATTTTTGGTATTTTGGTAATTTGGTGTTTTTGGCTTTGGCTCTCGCTTTGCTTCGCTGGGGTTTGGTTTCGTTTGGTTTGGTTTGGTTTGGTTGGGTTTGGTTGGGTTTGTTTTGGATTGTTGCTCTCGGCCAGCAACGGAGTGGCGGCGCTTGGCCCGTTAGCCGTGTTATTATGTGCATCCTGTGCGTTTGGGCCCTGTAATTTATTTATGGCCACATAATAAATCTGTGCATAAGACATTGCCAGTCCAGCGGTCAGAGAAGCAAAGGGAACGACTCTCGACTCTGCTCGGTGGCGGGCCGTACGTTTTTGTCCGGTTTTCCTTGCGTTTTCTGCTGGTTGCGCTGTATCTTTTAATGTTTTCCTTTCTCTTTATGCTTTATTGCAGTGTCATTTGCGCAAACTGTTGTTAATAGCCATGCGGTGACACTGGAAACCTCTCGCCCGGTCACCGAACTCCCTCCCTGCTATCGCCGCAGCAGCAGCTGATCAACTGCTGAGCTTTATGCAGTTAAAGAGGGTATACACAATTTCACATGATATATGCAACATTTTTGAAAAAAGTCATCAATGCAAGCTTTAATAGTGGAAAATTATAATAAAATTATATATCCATATGAGAAACTCAGTTATTGTTTTTTAAATGAAGAGCATCAGATCCGGCGGCTTGGCTTTCAAGTGAACTGACAGGCCTGTTTGACTCTGTGACTGCCTTAATGGCAGCGCTTCATTAGAGCCCCACCAAAATCAATAAGGAGCCTAGCTTCAGTTTTGCTTAGTCAGCTGTTGAGTGCCAACAAAGTGTTGGCTGTTCTGGGGCACGCGGACGGGCTACTCAGACTGATAATGACAAGTACTGTGGATTCAACAAGCGTAACTCATGCGGTCGCCTGCGAATGCCTTTGAGCAGTGTCATTCGGTTTCTAATCATCATTTCAACCATAATCATTATCAGTAAAATATACGTTGTTTGAACTAGGGCACGCTTCGCTGGCCATTGGAATACAATATGCCCCAATCTGTTTAACACTGGGCGCTTGCTTTAGCTCTACTTAGCCTCAAATGGCAGCACCCATAATTTATGGCCATTTGCCACGCCCATGCGCAGACATTATCAGTGTGTTTTGTAAATAGTTAATGCATAGTTTTGCTTCACATGGATTAGTCGAAATTTGTAGGAGAAATAGTAGCTAAAACTGACACCAGATACAGACAATGGAGTATATATATGTATATATATATATATGCAATATAGTTGTCCGATATTGATCAAAAGCTCCCTATCTGTTTAAAATTGTCGCTGTTTCGGCTCGAGACAATGGCTTGTCTTAGGGTTCGTTTTGTGAATGTAAAATTTCTGCAAGGAACCAGACTTTGGTTTGTCACAGTCTTAACCATTTTATATAAAACAGACTAGTTTGGAAATCGTCACAAAATAGCTCGTTTAGATTTCGATTTTTTCGTTTAGATTTCCCTTATTAAATTGGCAGAGAAACAAGACGATTTCACCTTAGCTCGTCTACCTGATCAGAAATACATATATATGTATATATATATATATATATATATATATATATATATATATTCACGGGGTCAGAGATGTCTTCCTTAATGCAATGCTTATATGTGACAACATTGTAACAATATCTTTTATTTCAATATAGGCGGTAGTTCCCCTTTCTCCAGCTTTCAGTACGCTCGCGAATGTTCGGTTGATAACAATTTACAACTATTTATAACTACACTATGCAACAGAATTCACTATTTTGATAGTGATATAAATTAAATCAATATTAAAAGATGTATAATAATGTAGATAACAAACTATATAGTTAAATATATTTAGAAGGTAAGGCTTTCTTGAAAAGTATATTCAATATTTTTTAAAAGTCTAGAACAATTCATTGATTTTAATCTATCAAAAAGTATCGCTTACTGTAAAATGCACAATGCTGTTAAACAGTGTTTTGTTTATTACACAAATACGCAGTTGATCGCCTAATCAAATAGATCCAATTGAACATTATCGTGTACAAAATACCCTGTAGCTGGCTTCAAACCTAATAGATTCGTATATTTTTCAGAAATTTTAAGGCTGCGTCTTACACATTACATGTTGAAAAATAAGGTGTTAAAGAATAATTGCGACAATAAATGAATTTAAATTTAAATTAATTGAATTAACTTAAAAATCAAGAGTATTCAAAATCGATTTAAGTGTAAAAGGTATATAGAATACATCACAATCTATACAATTTATATACACACACTCATAGCACTCATATATGTATATACATATATATATATATATGTATACCCATGGACCCGGAGCGATAAGAGCTATCATCTTTGCAGTACAATTAGAATGCCCTATAAATTAAGCTGAGCTCGCGCAGAGGCCATAGTACCTTTAAAATTGTCGTGATGGAATTGTTAAACGCTGTGATTCTGGGACTGGCCGCTTTTAGCCTGACATTCCAGGACGTAAATGCGAGTTGTCAACTTACATTTGAGTCACCTAAACCGCATATCGTAACACATTTTGGATCGAAGCATTTGGTCAGCGAGAGTGCATCGATATTAATACGAGATAAATATGAAACAGTTGATCTATATTGTGCCAATGGATTCAACACACATAGCAACTATGGAGCTTACGAACATAAAAACCACCACGTTAAATTGACTTGTGACTCACCCGAATTTTTTTTCGAAAACGAAGGAACTGATCGAATGAACATTCACGAATTGCATTGCTTGGGCAGCCAAGTGTCAAACATGTATGAGAGCCGCCTGTCTATGCCGGACTGCAATGGATACATGAGTCTCGTTGTTGGCCAGGACTTTGGAACGCTCGGCTCACTGAAAACGGCTGCCATATGCTATGACATTATTAAGCAACAGTTAAAGTATGTCAGCTACACTGCATATCCACCCAAAATAAGGGTGCTTGAAAAGGTAAAAGCATCTGCAATATCGACGCAACATATTGGAATCAACAGTATCTCATTTACAGACTCAGGCTGGCCAACTAAACGAATTGGGTCTAGACATTAATGTGGCTTACAGTAAAAGTCTCTTCAAGCCGTTCAGGTAAGCTCTACGACTGAATAAGGAAGTAAATGTTTGGGAAAAAAAATTAGTAGGATTATATAAACTTTTACGCTGAACGCGTTGAAAATGGGTAAAAACGAGAAGGAATGTACATCTTCGGCAAGCCGAAGCCTCTTGTAAACGATTTCCTTACCGTTTTGCAGATATGTGAGGGTGGTGAAGCTTGAAAATGCTGACCTTGATGAAAATACACAAGAACTTCACCTTCGACCGAATTTACTATTGAAGTTATATGATATAATGGTCCGATCCGGCCAGTCCCGACAGCTTTAAAACTGAGAGATTCGCTCCCATAGAAACAGACAAACGGCTGTTGCAGTTTATGGGGTCGCAAATGTCATCTGATTTGCGTTCCACGTTGCATGGCAATATTATAAGGGCATTAAAAAAGCATGACAGGCAGAGGGGAAAGGTTAAAAGTATAGTTCATAAAAATGTTTGGTTCTATATACAAAGTATAGATATCTTTATGATAATGGTAAAATTTATGGTAATGGTAAAGTTATGTTAGGCCTTTTGATTAAAAAGATTCAATCAAAGGAGTTATAACGATTTGTAGGCGAAACACTTGATAGCGCCATCTATGGATCAAACGGACAACTACTGATATTCACTTACTTGCAGTGAGTCGACCATCAACGAGGCATTCAGCAAGGACAAGCAACTGAAGGCGCTTTTTGGTGAGGAAACCTTTGAGTATACCAACCTGATACAGGACGAGGCCTTTACCAAGGATATATCAGCGTTTAAGGAAATGCTAAGCATTGTCTGGCTGCGCGCCCTTCGCACCGGAAACTGGCGGCATCTGCTTAACGCTCTACAGACAGCTAGCATCAATGCCAAGTATGATGTCCGCGTTGGTGTCTCTGGTGTCGTTGGCCTGCCAATGCTGCAATCCTGCAATGAGAGTCGCACACTGACCATCGAACTGGACTCGGGAGATACTCTCTCCGTGCCGGCTCACATCTGGGCACATGTGCGTGCGTTGGAGCCAACGGTGAACGGCACAGATGAGTTTGTAGTAGTGGCCCACAATTCCCCCTTTGTAAGTGCATATCGAGAATGAGAACAATCGAATCTGTATTAATCTATCTCGCTTCCAGTTCACTAGCAATGAGCGGGAGGGCCTGTGCAAGAGCATGTGCCAAGAGGTGCCATGGCTGAAGAACAGCCTCTTTAGCAAACTTCAGCACTATCCCGTCTATGGTCTGGTCCAGTGTTGTCGCGTTGAGGATGTTCGGGACAAATTAGATAATTTCCCGAAGCTTATCGAACCTACGGAGGAATGGAAGGCCTATACCGAGCCTAAGGCCAACGAAGACATCGAAGATTAGGTTGGTAAGGGCGAGTATATAGACGCGTGCTGATAATTTAAGTGGCTTTGTATATTTGCCTGAAGTTGTCACGAATTACACAAACAACCTCAATATCACTTGCATTTTCAATGTTAATCATTTGACACGGGCAACGCCGGGTGACTTAATCTGGCTTTAACGTGTGTGTTTGTTGTCAAAGCCATATAACTTGGCATATATGTATGTATACGAAGAAAGTTAATTCCAATTGCATGCATGCGCAGCCGTATACAGGGTATCTTCTTGCCTGCCACCGACCTCGACTAGACTTACCTTCCTTTGATTATTGCCCTAAATGCCCGTTAAGTTTCAATTGGACAACAGTTGTGGTTTTTTTTTCATCTATTAAATTTTGTCGCTTTTTTGACTGAGTGGCTACTTTGAGTCATTCGGTTGGGCGATTAGTTTGGGTCAAACCATCGATTATTGCGGCCACTTTGTGTGACTGAAGGCGATTTAATTGCCATAAGCCACAAAGTGGGCAGACAAACAAATTTATGATATTAGTTTCATTCAGCTGAAAGCTGAAAGCGTTTAGCGAGCGAAAGCCTTTAAGGACAACAACAACAGATTGTTGTCAGCCATGAATCTGGCATGTGGCCAGGAGTTCTCAATTGCTTTTGGCCAAGTGACAGGCGACTAATGCGTCAAAGTCCGCATTGCTCCGCAATCTCCCGCAATGCACATCAAGCGACAACAAATAATTTATATGGTTTTTAATTAATTTTCAAGTAACAGCGAAAAGCCAAATAAACAAAGAGCGAGCAAGCGCGAATATCTTTGGCACGCCGAAAATTTAATACCCTTCGGACGATTTTGCACATATGAATCGATATAGAGATCGAATGGGGCCAGATCCGGCATATAAACTGGCTGCAACAGAAGGACGGACCTGTGCAAAGCTTCAAGGCGATAGCTTTAAAACTGACAGACGGACAGACGGACATGGCTATGTCTGTACTGTACTGTACTGTATAGGATGAAATATGTCTACTTCTATGCGTTACACATTTGATGACAAAATATGAATACCCTTCACAAGGCGGAAACATCAAAACTTTTCCGGTTTGCCTATCGACCTGCTTAAACCTGTGTTAAACTTTCTCGACATGAATATCTGTTGTTGCCTCTCATATTCTATATTTTTTCATGAGACGGCGGCGGGTATGACGAATTCTGGATGAGATTTGTGCATGTGTAGGAGCATAATAAATAAAATAAGTCAAAGCCACAATACGATCAATGCCAATCAATCAATAGCCGGTATCTATGCAAATATGATGCTTGTCAGAGGGCAGAAGCGTGAGGCTGAGCCCGATTTATATAGGTATTCAAATAAACTGTATACTTTTGTCTGGTAGACGCAATCGAAGTCACACTTTTACACTCGTGAAATCGGCTAAAACTTAGACTATAAACACTCGTATAAGCGCGCTTCAGCTAAAGTGTTATATGTATTATATTATCTATATATTATATTCCCGTGAGACATCGGTAACATCTTCCTCTGGCACAATTGATATGCCTAGCTGTTATTGGAGTGTGAACGAAAATGCAATACACTTGCCTTTTGAATGTTAGGGTATTTAGTTTCGGTTAGGTGTTAATTGAACTGTCGCTCTCTCTTTTATTGTTGTTCGGTCCTTGTTTTGGGTACATTTCGTGCTTTCGTTTTGTTCGTTTGTTTGTTTATTTACTTTAATGCTTGATTTATGCATCGCAGCTAAATGAGAAACCACTTAGGCAGCGCGTCCTGTGCCATTCTGTTGCTGTCCTGACCCGGTTCCGGTTGTCGGCACTTGTGCATAATTTAAATGCCTCAAGTTTATGGCGGGCTGAGGGGCATGGTGTGTGGGGGGGTGGCGCCACCAAACAGCCCACCGCTTAATCAAATGTACTTGTAATTCCTATAATATAACTTTAACAATTTGTTGTTGTTGTTCTTTTTTTTCGCTCGCAAAATTCATTGCATACCCCGGCGCACACACTCAGAGCGAGAGGGGAGAAGGGGGTGGCAACTGATTGGGGCTTGGGACTTCGACGTTTTACGACTTCATTTGGCGTTACGTGATATTCCAAATAATGAAAACCCGCAGCGGCAACTAAAAAGCAACAGCGTAAAACTGCTGTGGGAAAAGGGCGTACGGTGGGGGAGGGGGCGTTGCGTAAACAGGCGGCTGAGAGGGGCAGAGCGGGTGTACGCTTCCGGGCGTATGGTGTCGTGGGTCGGTCGGATGTTGAGGCCGGTTAAAGGGAATTTAAGTAAAACATAAACGCAAACGGAAATAGCCAAAAAATTTAGCGATTTTTGGCACGCGACTTTACACGCAGGCAACAACAGCAACAACAACAACAACAACAATAGCGGCAACGCCAGCAGGTGTTTGGTGGGCGTCTGCGTTTGCGTGTGGTTGTGTGTGTGTGTGCGTGTGGTTGTGTGTGTGTGACACACAAGCCGGCTGCATAACAACAACAACAACAACAACAATAAAAGCCCAAAAGCAAACAACACAGAAACAAAAATGTGCACAAAGCGCAAAAGAAATACACAAAAAATAAAGTACGAGTGCATGAGCTGGGTATGCTCGACTAGAAACTACCCTATACATTTTACGAACTTTTTTCATAATACACACACACAGAAACCAACACACACATCCACACACACATCAGCTGTGCCGTGCTTTTCCTTGCCCTAAAATTGGCATACAATGAAATATATTGTAATTCCTTAAATTTTCTTGTTTTTACAAAACGAAGCTCTGCTAAGATTTTGAAAACACATTGAATAACGTCGGTGTTTGTAGTCCGATCGTTATGAAATATTCAATTTTATGCTGTATGTGCTATGCGAACTTCTCGAATTCCTTGTATCTGCAGTGGGTACAGGGTATAAAAAAATACCGGCAAAAAACTAAAAGCAGACACGAGACGAATGACAAAGAGAGCGAGAGTGAAAGGAGTGAGAAAGAGAGAGGGTGTTGGGCGTAAATGTGGCACCGTAGGCGTGGCCGGCGTTGCGGGCAAAGCAAAAAGAGGAACACAGCCAAAATGTAGAAAGAAGAAGCCAAATTGCCAAATCGGGGGCGTTCACGAAGTGCGTGGTAGCTGCATAAACGCGACGAATAATAAACAGGAAATAGTAAAAGAAATCGAACGTAAAAAGTTCGATTATGGATAAGACCGCAGTGTCCAAACGGAGTCGTCCATCGACTTGTTATCGAAGCAGACAACTGATACGTTCAAACAATATTAGGGGTATTCCATTCGTAGGCCAGTGTAACACCAGCAGCTTTTAAACATAATCAAAAGTTATTTTATTTATGGGTTTCATTTTGAAATTCAAGCGATGTCATCATAACCTTTGATCAAGCTTATCGATATATTATCGACTCGCACGAATACGATTTTCATGCTGATACTTCTTGCCTGTATATAAAGTTAAATATACCCTACTCCAGAGAAACGTTTTGTTTGCCCGATCCTGATCACGTCAGAATATACGTATATTCATCTACTCCGATATTCAATAGTTGCTTTGTACAGTTGCGAATTGTGGCGATAATTTTTACTATCGCATAGCTAAGAATCGGATTTAGAAATTGTATCTCGCTGCAGTCACGGCTCCAGTTAAGCATTTAGAAAGAACAAAAAGAAAACAAATGAAAAATCATTGAAATTTTGGCTTTGGAGCAACTGGCACTGCGCCCGGCAACTTCTGGCCCCCACGGGCTACACACACAGATCCCCTCTTCCCGCTGTGCAAAGTTCACAGTTCCCGTCACGCCCGCAACGTAAAGCGGCGCGTGCTCAGCTGCAATACAACCACACACACACACACACACACACACACACACACACACACACACACACACACACGCACACACACACAGAGTAGGTAAGCGCGATACGGGATTCATGATGTTTTCTGTTTGCCTTCTTCCTTTGTGGGGCTGGAGGGGTTTGAGTTTTCTTTTGCTTTTCTTTTTTTGGGGCACATGTACCGCTATTTTCATTCGTATTCAGTTGAGAAAGGTATTAAACCGGAAAAACACGTTGCACATCGATGTATTCCCTGGTGGCCGGCAGCGCCCCCAGTCCCCCTGCCCATCGTCAGGTTCAGCGACGTCTACAGCATCAGCTTCAGCTGCGGCACGTGTATTTACGTCAAGTCGTCGACACGAATGGTGGCGGCATCCGCCGCTCTGCCACCTGAGTGACCAGCGCGATGGTGTTGTATTGGATCAGGCGGAAGGGGCTGTGTTGTTTATAGGGTAGCTCGGTGGGCCAGTTCGGGAATGTCACCGAAATCAAATGAAATTACAGCAGCAAAGTGCAGAAGCAGGCCTGTGGAGATGTTAATTAAAAGTGGGCCGAGCGTAGAAATTAGTTAATTAATATTAAATTCAATTTGAAGGCGCAGAGCTGGACCTACAATTAGGTTATCAAATGAGCGCCTCGAGTCCAAGTCACTCGTTCGCACGTGACACCATTAAAACCAAGTGAAACGTGCCCCATGCCTTGGCCAAAACCACATCGAACGGCATTTCGTGGGTCTAGGCGCATTTGCATGTATCAAAGGAATCCATCAATCCATTGAGATTGGGCGTAGCCTAAAGAAAACCTGACTGTGTCTAAATAACGAAAATAGTATATATTCCAATGGCGTTTTTTAAACATTCGCAAGTACATTTGTGAATGTACCAAATGTACCAAATGCTGATTGTATTTAATCAAAACTAAATTCAAGATGAAAAATTAGATTTAAATGTCTTGTAAGTAAGAATTCATTTCAATTAATATCAAGACTGTTTCTTTGATTTATATTAAAAAAAATTATAGTTTTTATACAAATTAATACAATTTTAAGAAGAAATATACTTGAAGTTCTTACAAGTGTTTGTATTGTATTTAATGTATTAAATGTTGAAGTTAATTGGACTTTAAAGCAAGCGAGTCAAACGAATAAACACGAGTGAAGCATTTGATTACCATTTGAATACTCAAATTAGTTAGCAATAACATATTTGATTATATTCGATTTCAAACTATATTATTAGAGAAGTGTTT